TAAGAAATGCAAACCCTAGCTGTTTTCCACCCGAGTGCTGCACGTGTATATGCAACATGATGTAATGTGCGCAAGGCTAATAAACATGCAAGGCTGCTGGGAGAGAGAGCTCACTCCTTGCTTAAACCTTCACCCATGACTCTTCGTCATTTTCCTCCGCACCTGGTGGGCTGGTTCCCCGACAAATGGTGCCCCGTGTGATTGCCTGAACGGCTTCCAGGACGCGTGCTGTCAAAGACGGTCCTCCCTGCTACTCACCCGCCCGGCTGTGGCTCAAGGCGCCTTCTCATCTTCGGATCCCCGGTGAGTAGCTATTTTTCTATTTTTATCATGGGTTCTGCGCTCTCCAACCCTCAGAAACAATTTTTAAAAGACATGCAGCACCTCCTTCGGGAAAATAAACAGCAAGTACCTGAAGGTGATCTAATTGCATTGATTCTGGCCATAGATGAACATTGTCCATGGTTCCCTGAGGACAGGACATGGGAAATTCCAGCCTGGAACAGAATTGGCGACCACTTTCATGGCCATGGCCGCATAAATGTTCACATCCTCAGTGCCTGGGCTAAAGTCCGTGGCTGCATGGCAACTCTTATGCCCAAAAACATCCTCTTGGCTTCGTTGCAACCACAACAAAAAACAGTCCTGAATATGCCTTTCATATATCCGGCTGCACCGCTTCTACCACCACCTTTTACTCCGCCACGACCACCAGATTATCAGCCTCCGCCGACACCACTGGGGACTGCAATTAAACAAGCAGCCCCCCTCTTAGGTCTTTCATCTGGCACGCCAGTGGCTAAAGTCATACTGCTCCCTGCGGATGCCACAACTCCTACAGATACCCCCTTAATTGCTGCTGCAATGCCTCTCACAGCTCAGTGCCCTACATTAAAAATGACACTGGGTGGACATGAGGTAGAGGGGGTTCTGGATACAGGGGCAGATGTTACTGTGATTGCTAAACAAGACTGGCCTCCCGAATGGCCCACAAAGGCAGCTGCGCAGGTTTTGGGTGTCGGGGGAGAAGCGCCAGCCTGTCAAAGCCTCCACCCAATTGATATCCTTGTGGCTGTGAAGCACATATCAGTGGAATTATTAAGAGACCTTACATCTGCCCTGACAGATTTTGGACTGTGTATTGCCCCAGATAAGGTTCAGCAAACTTTGCCTATGTTATATCTTGGACATAAATTGACACAACAAGCTGCCATTCCGGTTGTTCCCCAATTGTCTTTTCCTGCCCGCCTACGGCTGGTTGACCTTCAACAACTTTTGGGACACCTGAATTGGATTAAGAATTACCTTAATCTGCCTACTAGCACCTTGTCACCATTGTTTTCTGCCTTACAAGGACACAAACTACCCAGAGAAGTCATCCCAGTTACAGAAGAAATGCTACAAGCCTTACAACAGGTTAATGCTTTATTAAGAGACCGAATGGTGGATCGCATAGACACTCTGCACAATGTGCAGTTATCCTTGGCAATTTTTCCACACCTTTGCTGCCTACAGCCATTCTCTACTCACAGAAATCGGCTGCCCCTCGGGTGTCAACATTGTGGAATGGATCCACCTTCCGCATACTCCACCGCGTAACATTTATTCCTCTCCAGCGGCTGTAATGGATTTGGTAATTAAGGGGCGCGCTCGAGCAAAAGCCCTCTCTGGACTGGACGTTGAAAAAATTTACTTGCCTTTTTCACTCACAGAAACACAACACCTGATTTCCACCTCCGTGGCTACTCAAGTAGCACTTGTGGATTTTTTGGGAACCATCACGCATAATCCCCCCTCTGATCTGATTCTGTCTCAAACTGTCTATACTTTAAAAACTGCTCTTTCTCCGACCCCCATCCCCTCTGCCCTTACCCTTTTTACTGATGGGTCAAAAACGCGGGGGGTGGTGGCATGGGAGGAGGGTGGAAAATGGAAAACTGAATTTACTGAGCAACAGAGGTCCACCCAGCGGGCTGAGACTTGCTGCTGTAATCCTTGCCTTTCAACTCTTTCCTGATAAACCTTTTAATTTGCTTGTTGATACACAATATGTGTATCGCCTTCTGTCTTCCCTGCCTGTTTCTTATATCACGCCTGCGTTAGATGCTGATTTGTTTGTTCTTTTTTCTACCTTGCAGTATCTTATTCAAGAACGCCGTCATCCTTTTTATGTTGCACACCTTCGTTCCCACACCAATCACCCAGGGTTTTTGGCTCAGGGAAATGCCGTGGCAGACGCTGCACTGTGATCTGAAGTGTTTTCTTTGTTTTCTGACCCTATTCTCTCTCATTCTACCTTTCACCAGCCTGCTAAAGTTTTGGCAAAAATGTTTAAAATCCCTATTGCACAGGCACGAGACATTGTCTCTCAATGTTCTACCTGTTCTAAAGCTCGAACCATGATTCCTTTTGATGCGGTGAACCCTAGGGGTACGTCCCCTCTTGCGGTTTGGCAGATGGATGTTACTCACACCCCTCTGCTTGCCCCATTTTCAAAAGTTCACTTGACAGTGGACACCTCATCTGGATTTATCTGGGCCACCCCATTGAAGGGTGAGACCGCTCGTCACGTCATTCAGCACACCCTGCGCTGTTTTGCTGTGATGGGTAAGCCACAAAGCATTAAAACGGATAATGGCCCAGCCTATATTTCCTCTCAGTTTTCATCCTTTTGTGATTTATGGAATGTGAAATTAATCCATGGTTTGCCTTTTAATTCCAACAGGACAGGCGATTGTGGAGAGGCGCACTTGACCTTCAAGACACTGCTGTCCAAACAACTTGGAGGTCGAAATGCCCCCTCCGCCGAGATTCCTTCAATTGTGCATACTGTTTTATTCACTCTTAACCATCTTTTGTATCCCCATAATAGGGAATATACACCGGCTGGCTGCATCCACAGCACTTTCGAAGACATCGACGCTCAGCTAGCCATGATCCCAGCATTTTGTCTAAAACTAATCGTTCAGAGGACTATCATGCTCTCTGGACTGATAATACCTTTGTAAAAGACATGGCTCAATTGTCAAAGATTTTCCACCAGTGGTATTGACCTTGTTAGAACCAGCAGATAGGTGTTTTAGGTTTAAAAATAACACATCTGTATTTCTAGGGAACTACCCTAATTGTGCTTGGACTTATGAATATGTCAATACCTCCTCTTGTTTCTTGAACACAACCACACGCAGTGGAAGGCCACCAGTAGTTATAGGGAATGTTACCTACCGTATGACATGGGGCCAGCATGCAATGTGCAATGATTTTGATGGATGGATATGGTGGATGAAAAGAGTAGTAGGACATCCATGGTTTTACAAAATGATCTTTGGCTTTTCTGCGGACGTAAAGCCTATAAGGAAATTCCTAAAAGTTTTCAGGGATTTGCACCCTTGGTATTGTAGTTCCATTGATTTATAAGTTAGACAATATTTCTTCGCTCGGCCGCAATAAGAGAGATGCTAATGCTCCTATAGTTCATTATGCTGAAACTGCAATTGCTAGGGCTGCCCTGCCCCCTCTTGGTGTTGCCATGAATTACAGGGACCTCCACAGACTCTCCAACTGGACAGAAGGGCTATTCAATGCAACTATAAAAGCCTTGAAAGTAATTAACCAAGAAATGTCCAATATTCGTGAGGTTACCCTGCAGAATCGCTATGCTTTGGACACCATTTTGGCCTCCAAGGGAGGGGTGTGTGGGTTAGTGTTATCACACTGCTGTATGTATATAAAAGATTATAATCTTAGTATTTCCACAACTATTAATGAAATGGAAGCCATGGTTAAACAAAATCCGATCTCACATCCTCCCATTCCTGACCCTTGGGAATGGCTTTTTTCCTGGCTCCCTGATGGATTTTGGTTTCGTCATTTATTGCTAATAGGCTTAGGATTGGTTATAGGATTTGTGTGTATTTGTTGTTGCATACAATGTGTTCCCTCACTGATCACCCAATGTATGGGGTGGTGGTCTTCGCGACGCACTTCCTTAGGTGTCCCCCGCCGAGAATATGTTGCTAGATACACGCGCTTTCGCAATGAAATTTATGACTCTGATTAAATAATATAAAAAAGGAGGGCATGTGGGGATGCAATAGAAAAATAGCACCCTTGTGCAAGATTGTGCAAGAGGAAGCATCTGCTGACTTGTTCCCCTCACTCGCCTGGGTCACTGACAAGCTGCCTAACCACAAAGCTTACGCGGCTGTCATGCTGTCTGGAGTTATGTCCTGGTAGAGAATAGTTATTCTAAGAAATGCAAACCCTAGCTGTTTTCCACCCGAGTGCTACACGTGTATATGCAACATGATGTAATGTGCGCAAGGCTAATAAACATGCAAGGCTGCTGGGAGAGAGAGCTCACTCCTTGCTTAAACCTTCACCCATGACTCCTCGTCATTTTCCTCCGCACCTGGTGGGCTGGTTCCCCGACACATTGCCTTATTGATGAAATACGCCCCCTCAAATCTAAACCCCAACCAACGGAAATCTGCTGGATGCACAGGCAGGAGGCAGAATGCAAACTCGATGTCGCATTTCGCTAGGAGCGCTCCTCGGCCAAATCTACGAATAATTTTGACTGCTTGGTCAAAAGAGGCGTATTTTACCGTGCACAGTTCCTGAGGTATTGCATCATTCACGGAACCTCCCCTTGGGTAAGAGAGGTTGTGGATCATGTGAAATTCCCCCGGAGCTTTTTTCGGTACTATGCCCAGAGGGGATAGGTGAAGCCCCTCCAGAGGGGGCTCGGGGAAAGGGCCTGCAACCCTGCCTGCCGTGATCTCCTTCTGTATATTTTTCCTAACTATCTCAGGCCTTTCCCGCACGGACTTCTGGTTTTGGGGGTCCCCGGTGTTGGGGGGGGGGATGCTACTGGGATTCTAAATCCCATGGAGAACCCGTCCCAAAGGTATTTTGCGGCTATTCTATCAGGGTATTGGTCTAGGAGGGTTTTGAGGGGCTGGAGGCAGATGGGGGGAAAGGCAAGACCGAGATACAAGTTACTGGCGGTTACTGGGTCCTTGATGAGAGGATCCGGGGGCACCCCTGGTATTGTTGTTGAAGTACCCCCTGCCCCCCCGAAAGGGCTGTTGCTTATTCTTAAAGCACGCAGAGGCGGGGTGGTTTCCCAGGCACCGCTCACATTCGTGAAGATACTTACAGGAAGGTCGCGAACACACACCCCTGTTGTACTCCCAGCACTGGCGGCACCGCTTTGCCTCTGTCTTACCCGACTTGGCCAATTCCTGGTTTTTCTTTTCGATATAGGGGTTAACGTCCTCGCCCCAGTAATTGGGGTCCCTTAGGTCCCACTGGGTGGAGGGCAGGAGAAAAGAGTTTCTACAAAAATTCTCATAGGTTAATGCCGCAGTCTCACCCGCCAGCATGTGAGCCCGCCTCACGTGAGCCAAATAAGCAACCAGGTCCATTGAACGTTTAGGATAAGCCACACAGATAACTCCCATGAAGACCTGGTACGCATCCAACCAGTTCTCAAAGGTGCATTCGGCCCTAGGCGTCCTATACCTCCGCTTACCGAAAGAGCTCTTCTTTTCCCCTTTCCCAGTTAGCTTGGTAGGAGAGAGAAGGGTAAACATATCTACATAGTCGCCATTGAGGATCTTATTCCTCTTCCTCTGGGACAAATGGTTCCCCAATATAAAATCAGTCGACTGATTGGTGGAAACCTTTACATCTTCCACCAACGCCCCGTCCTTCCATTCCAATGTTCCATTGAACGTCTTACGGTGCGAATTAGCCCTCCTCTCATGTGCCCAAAGCGGGATCCCATGATTATGTTCCCCGAAACCCCAGTAACCATCCATAGGGCCCTCGCTATCAGAATCCGAGGATGACGTACCTGACTCATCCTCTGTCTCGGACTGCTTACTTCTTTTCTTCTTAGCCGACGTATGCTAGAGTGACTAGTGGGGTGCCACAGGGTTCTGTCTTGGGCCCGGTCTTATTCAACATCTTTATCAACGACTTGGATGATGGACTCAAGGGCATCCTGATCAAATTTGCAGATGACACCAAACTGGGAGGGGTGGCTAACACCCCAGAGGACAGGATCACACTTCAAAATGACCTTGACAGATTAGAGAACTGGGCCAAAACAAACAAGATGAATTTTAACAGGGAGAAATGTAAAGTATTGCACTTGGGCAAAAAAAATGAGAGGCACAAATACAAGATGGGTGACACCTGGCTTGAGAGCAGTACATGTGAAAAGGAACCAAGAGTCTTGGTTGACCACAAGCTTGACATGAGCCAACAGTGTGACGCGGCAGCTAAAAAAGCCAATGCAATTCTGGGCTGCATCAATAGGAGTATAGCATCTAGATCAAGGGAAGTAATAGTGCCACTGTATTCTGCTCTGGTCAGACCTCACCTGGAGTACTGTGTCCAGTTCTGGGCACCACAGTTCAAGAAGGACACTGACAAACTGGAAGGTGTCCAGAGGAGGGCAACCAAAATGGTCAAAGGCCTGGAAACGATGCCTTATGAGGAACTGCTAAGGGAGCTGGGCATGTTTAGCCTGGAGAAGAGGAGGTTAAGGGGTGATATGATAGCCATGTTCAAATATATAAAAAGGATGTCACATAGAGGAGGGAGAAAGGTTGTTTTCTGCTGCTCCAGAGAAGCGGACACGGAGCAATGGATCCAAACTACAAGAAAGAAGATTCCACCTAAACATTAGGAAGAACTTCCTGACAGTAAGAGCTGTTCGACAGTGGAATTTGCTGCCAAGGAGTGTGGTGGAGTCTCCTTCTTTGGAGGTCTTTAAGCAGAGGCTTGACAACCATATGTCAGGAGTGCTCTGATGGTGTTTCCTGCTTGGCAGGGGGTTGGACTCGATGGCCCTTGTGGTCTCTTCCAACTCTATGATTCTATGATTCTATGATTCTAAAACTTCTAATTATTTGCAAACTCCTAGTTCAGTATTGTCACCAAGATCCGGTGTTTGTCAAATTTATTTTATTTTATTTTATTTTTATTATTATTATTATTATTTTATTTTTATTATTATTAGTATTTATTTATTCAATTATTTATTTATTTATTTATTTATTATAATTATCTATATATATATTAAAAATTTTATTTATTTATTTGTATTTTATATTTTATTTATTTATTTATTTATTAGTTAACTAAGTATTTATTTAATTAATGTTTTAATTCATCTGTGTTATTCTATTAATAAACTCTTATCATGTATTGTTATCACTTAATAGCAAAATTAACTTAGTTCAGAATTGCCTACACCGACAGCAGAATGAAGCTGGAGCCGCCCAGCACAGCTCAGTAAGAACCGCCAGACACCAAGATGCAAAGGTTATATAAGCAGCTTATAAACAATACCTACTGCTGCAAATGTGAATTGATTTATCTGATAACAATATCGTGATTATGCACTGCAATGTTGCCAAATTATTCTTAGTTGTTAGCCTGATGCCTTGAAATAGGAAGGATAGAATCCAATAGATGCCGCAGGTACTTTAATTATTTTAAAAATTACTGCCTAGCCTCCACCGTGCCTGTAAGCGCACTGCCCTTTTCTCCCTTGGAGCGGGAACGCAAAAACAAAACCCGAAAAGTTGTCTGCTGTAACTCCCTGGAACGCACGATGCCTCTTTCCCCAGAACTTGCTCGGTGCTCTGACTCAATCTAATACAACGCCACAAGGACAGCTACTTCGTAATCACCCCCGGCTTTGAACCGCAAATGAATTAAACTTGATGCGACTTTGAAGCAAGGAAAGAAAGTGGCTGCGACAACTACTCAGCGGTGTGAATTGCAACAAAGAAACCCCCGTGCCTCACCTAAAATGGCGGCTCCGAGAGACCACGTGGTCACCCTACAAGATGGCAGAAGAAGAGCATCGTTGCCATGGCGACTAAGCCCAACCACACTCTGAGGTTGCTACACTGTAGAGCGACCGACAATATAAGCGCAATGGGGGATACCCCTGTATGCGTGGACTGAGTTTGCCGGCACTCCTGTGATCCTGCTTATTAGAACAGGATTATTGACTGTACATTAAGAAAGGTTAAGAGAAAACACTTTTTCCTCCCTCCGTCTGGACGGGCGAATCCGACACCCTGCTGCTGGACCCAACCCAGAAAGGAGAACCCCAGCAACCCCTTAGCGACCGCTGAGAGCCCTCACTGGCCGGGTTACCCCCACCTCAAGCGGCTGCTGAAGTCAGCCGTGTGTCCAGAGTTCGCCGATTTGCGCAGCAACAATGAATTGACGGAATCGGGGATCCACATGGCAGAGTTGTGGCGACGGTCGCTCTCAGTGGGATATGGGCGCTGGCAATGCGTCGGGAGCAATGGATGCAAAATTCCACGTGCAAGCGGTGAGCGCAAAAACAAAAGGTAGGAACGAAAAGGTATGAAGAGGGGCTCCGCTACGCTACGGTGCTCCGATCGATTGGACGGTGAGTTCCGAGCGACCGGTCCCGTTTTGGCGCTCTTGCCGTAAACAAGAAGCACGACTTGCGACTGACGATCTCCCAAAGATGTTAAAAAGAAACAAAGTAACGCTCTAAATTGATATAGAAAACAAAGCAATGAAACAACAAAACAACCTGGCTCCACGTGCAAGCTGGGACCTGAAAAAATGAAGCAGCTGGTCGGAGCAAAAAACCGGGCAGCTGGAACGGGGAAAAGAGGGCGGTCCCCGGGCGCGCTGGCCTTAAATGGGCTAGGCCATGCCTCCCCTGCCCGCTGATTGGCGGGCCGGGTCACGGACACGCCCGGGGATTCACTCTTCTCGTTGGGGCTAAAGCAGCCCCCGCATGTGTGGGAGGGGGTGGCCCGCAACCCCCCTCCTCTCGAGTTCAGAAGTGGCTTTCTGACATGTGGATTCACACACCACAAAGCTCCAAGTTAGGCAAATGTGGTTTGCATGGTATCTTTCTAAGATATCAGAAAGGCTCTTACAGAGTAATGATGACTGGCACTAATACAGTTAGACTCACTAGACGTGTTGAGTACAATGCCAAGTGGGGGGAGAATGTGGGAATTTTCCAATGTTATCCTGATGACAGTGAAGAGTCTGAGGATAAACATCAGCAAAACCCCACACCCACTGATGAAGGTTCTGATTCTGAATCTGAAACTGTATCAGATGATTCAGAGGATTTCAAGAGTGCTAAAGCCTCTCTGTGACCCTCTGAAGGCTCTGATCGAGAATTGGAGGAAGCACTGTTCACTATAGGCCACTTTTCTCCTAAGAAAGAAGAGGAGAGCGTTGAAGACTTAAGTCTAATTCGCAGGTCTGAAAGTGCCACAAAGGGTAGACCTCCAAAGAGATTTGCTGATGAATTTGCTATTGTTAATAGCTCCAAGAAGGTATTTGAACCTTCAAGCTTCCAAGCGATCCAGGCTTTGAACTCAAAGGATGCTGAGCCATGGTTAACTGCCATGAAGGCTGAGCTTGATTCCTTAGAGAGGAACAAAACATGGGAGCTAGTTCCGACAGTTCCAGGGATGAAACTGCTTGACAGAAAATGGGTATTCAAAGCAAATACAGATCAGAATGGCAAGGTAGTCAGACAAAAAGCCAGATTGGTAGCCAGAGGTTTCTCATCACGATGTGAATACAGCATTTTTGTACGGAACCTTAGGTGAATCACTTTATATGCTTCCACCTGATGGTGTACAGGTAAAACAGGGATTTGTTTGTTCTCTGAAGAAGTCCCTATACCAGGGGTCTGCAACCTTTAAGACAAAAAGAGCCACTTGGACCAGTTTCCGAAGAAAAAACAACTGGGAGCCGCGACATTTAAAACAAATATAACACTGCATGTATTGTTTCTTACCTTAATGTCCGATCTGACAGCGGGCGGGAAGGTGACGTCGGGACGGTGCGTGACTAACGCACGCACCGCCCCCATGCGACGTCACAGCCAGTACAGCGCACGCCACAGTGGGGAGTATCGGGGCGCACAATGCGCCTCCTCCCCTCGCTAGTATCCGCCCCGGAGCCGCGGCAAAGGTGTAAAAGAGCCACATGCGGTTCCGGAGCCGCGGGTTGCAGACCCCTGCCCTATACAGTCTCAAACAAAGTGCATGATGCTGGCACTCTAAACTGACTGAAGTGTTGTTTTCTCTGGGTTTTCAGCAGGGTAAAGCTGATCCATGTTTATTTGTCAAAGAGGAAGGGCAAAAGAAGCTGTATTGCTGGTTTTATGTTGATGATGTTCTTTTCTTTTGGAAGGATGTTAAAATGTACAATAGCGCCCTAGCTCAACTGAAGGAGCACTTTGACATGAAAGATCTTGGTGAGGTAACCAACTACCTATCTCTGGAAATAGAGAGAGACCAAGATGGTAATATTTTAGTACACCAGTCACAGAAAATTGCTGATGTCTTAACCAAACTAAACCTGATGGATGCTAACCCTGTAGACACACCGATGACAACAGGTTATCAGGTAGATGACACTGAAGGAGCATTTTCTGACACTACACTGTACAGAAGTGTGCTAGGCAAACTAAACCTCATTGCCAGATGTTCAAGAGCGGACATTGCAGTTAGCTGTAATTTGCTAAGCAGACAAGTCAACAATCCTACTGTTAAGGATTGGAAAGCTCTGAAACGCATAGCACACTATTTGAAAGGCACTATGCACTACAGACTGAGATTTAATAATCAGAAGTCTGGCGGTCTTGAGATATTTGCTGATGCGAGTTTTGGAAGTGACACTACAGACAGGAAAAGCACGTCTGGAGTTTGCTACATGTACAACCAGGGTCTATTTGATTGGTCGTGCAAGAAGCAAACAACAGTAAGCTTAAGTTCTTGTGAAGCTG